TTCACTTTACCAATACTACCCGTGATCTAAGCCATCATCAATTTTGCCTGTCCTACTAGACTCTTTATTGCCAATCTTGTCTCTGTATCAGTTACCTTGCACAAGTGAATATGTGTGCAAACACACGTGCTTTCACACACACAAATTCTATTCTCAACTCAGCAGCCAGAGGAATCATTTACATTTTAAAAAAAAATCTACATCTGATTATATATCAGTCCTGCCTACTGTTAGTTAGCTTACCACCACCCTTAGAATAGAATCCAAAGTCCTTATCATGTTCTGCAAGCCCCTAATCTCATCTCCTACCATTCTCCACCTTGCTCACTGTGTTTCTACGTCATTGTCTTCCTCATCATTCCTCACACAAGCCTGGCAGTCACATGCCTCAAGGCCTTCGCATCTGCTGTTTCCTCAGCCTGTGGAACACTCTTCAGATAGCCACATGATTCATTCTTTTATGTCCTTTAGGTCTCTGCTCATCCTCTTATGTTCTTTAGGTCTCTGCTAATGTCACTCCATCAGAGCCATCTTCCCTGACCATCCTACGTGAAAAGAGCAGCCCTTCATTTTTTGTATCATTGTCTATACCTTTACATGGCTTGAATTTTCTCTACATACATTACAAGACATTACATTATAAATCTATTCCTTGTCTGTCACCCTCCACCAAAATGTAAACTTCAGGAAGGCAGAGACTTTACTTTGATCCCTATTCTAGACTCAGCACCTACAAGCATGCATAGCACAGAGTAGGCATTTAATAATTACTTGTTAAATGAATGACCTCATCTTTGTATGTCCTCCTGTTTCTTGCCCAGTTCTTTGACCATAATAGATTCTAAAGAAGTATCTGCAAAACTGAATTGTATGTACTTAACAAAAATTAACTGAAATAATCACCAGAGACAAAACTACCCTAAGCTACTTTTTCGTGGAGAAATAAAGTCGTCACAATTCAGCTTAGCCTTTTATTACTTAGTTTTGATATTATGAACCTCCCTAGAGCACAAAATGTTTCACATTGAACATTTATTTCAAGGATGGAGTCCAGAGATTAACCCCAGCAGAACACACTGTCTACCCACAGGGAGTGTGTGTGTGGCAGGGAGGGGTGGGGCGCACCAGTAGGGACGTGAAGGACACCAAAAGGATGTTCGTAAGCCACAACAGTTAAGTCATCCAGTTTTGGGGGATATACTTAAAGCTTAAAGCCTCTTCTAATTCCACCTAAGTTTTTCTTATCGTCAATGGATTTCTCTCACTTTTACAGTACCGGTTTCTCAGACAGACTTTTGTCTTTTGTTTCTAGGTCTTTCATATCAGAGAAAGAAAAAAGAATTCAGTGCAAAAATAAAACATATAGCTTCTAATCACCCACTCTGTCTTGTTCCACATACAAAAGGCCAGTTAAAAATTTCATCTTTGCCATCCAATGTGTATACTGATGCTAAAGCAAATGTCTGGAACTGCATAAATTCATTTCATTTACATTTAATCAATTTAAAATGATCATTCCTACACTAATGGGATTAGAGGCACCAATACTCCCCACGGTCAAAAATCTATGTGTAATTTTTGACTCCCCCAAATATAATAATAGCCTACTGTTGACCGGAAGCCTTACCAATAACTTAAATGGTTAACACGTATTTTGTATATGTATTATATGCTGTATTCTTGCAGTAAACTAAGAGTAAAGAAAATTATTAAGAAAATCATAAGGAAAATACATTTACTGTATTTATTGAAAAAAATCCACGTATAAGTGGACCCATGCATTTCAAACCCAAGTTGTTCAAGTGTTATCTGTAATTTTAAATGATTCTCTTCTTGTCCTTCAGAATTTCCTTGAGTCCCTTCTTTATACCAGCTCCCTATATTCATTCAGTAGCATGGGTAACATCTTTTAAACTAAAAACACAAATATTAATCGCAATGGATCCTTTTGGTTCTTATTTTACTTTTCTTGCCCACTAGATAAGTACATTCTTTAAGCTAGTGGTTTTTGACTCTGTCTACACATTAGACTCACTTGCAGAACTGTTTAAAAAAACATCAATACCCAGGACCCACCCAAGACCAAGTACAAATCTCCGAAGGCTGGATTGAGGCATCAGAGTTTTTTTTAAAGTTCCCACAGTGTTTCTAATGTGCAGTCATAGATGAGAACCAAAGCCTTTAGCATGTGCAAGTCACAAAGAAAGAATGCAGTGATGGCAATAGTAGCAAGAGGAAGCTGACCCCAAATTTAGATATTGCTATAGTTAATGCACAGAGCAGATCATTGCTGTGTATATGATTAGTTGACTTGAATACTATATTACATGACTCGATAGAGTAATTACTTTGGACAATAAAGATATGATTGAAAACATAAATAACTTGACTAGGACTTGAAGATATTGTATAGAAATTATTAGTCAAAGGTCAAATTTATTCACGCTGTCTTCTTTAGTAGTCTATGGCTTAAAAAGTTATATATTTGCACTATGTTTTCCCTTCCCCTGCCTTTTACTGTAATTAAGATAGCAGACTCAAAGGAAGTAGAAAAATCTTTGTTCTTTTTTTTCTAAGAAGTGATTTCCTGTGGTAGTGGGTCGTAAAGAGAAGGCTGAAGGCGATTGGGATCCATGACACTGTAGGGAATCCGGATCTTCCACAAAGAGAATGGGCAGGTAACAGGCCTTCAATAAACAGGTTAAGTAAGGCAAATAGAAGAAAAAAATTGTAAGATGTAGGCAGTCAAAACACAACAGAGATGGGAAATGGGTACCACCTAATTGCAAGGGCGCTATGGAAACATTCTGCTTATGTGCTGGACTCCGGTGCAATACTTCAGTTATGTTGAAGTTTTCCATCACTAATTGCTTATGAGAATTTCCAAATTGAGCATTTAATTGCCCAAAAGTAAAAAGATAACTGTGACAGAACAAACATATGTCCTATAAATGCCACAATACAATTCTAATTTGGATATAGAGATGCATACTGATTTGGCCCAGGAAACCTTGACTAAATTGACTGGGATGTATTTCATCATTTTCTGTAACAGAAATAGATGTTTCTCCAGTTCTATCATTTCTTGAATACTTTACTTTATATAATGTTATTTTGTTCTTTGAAACAATGGTTGCTAGAATCTGAACTGGTACTAGAAGAAAACAGGTTATTTGTAACAAAAAGAGCAGAGAAAATTGTAGTGTTACTTAAAGCGACTTCTTCCAAGTGATTTAAAAACCTATGTCCTAATGATCCCAATTTACTTTTTCTGCCAGATCCTTCAAAATTGCCTGGAAATTGGGAAGCAGCCGTTTAAAGTAAATTCTAACTTCTCAACATCTTGATTAGATATTAGCCATTTCCCTGTTTATGTGCATATAATTTATTAGTGACAGCTATTTTAAACTTATTAGCAATGTTTCACTAATTTTAACAACACCTCCTAAATGATAAACTACCAAATAGTTTCTAAATCACTCTTACTGCTTAGCACATTTCTTTTATATTAACGGTTTAATTTTGGGGGGGAGAAGTGATGTTTCTAAAACCCTGAGATTTTTTTTGAAATCCCTGAGCATTAAGCAGATTAACTTACATTCGTCTTTGAGACATTATGCTTCAAGACTTTGAATATTATACTCTATCTAAATTCTGTATTTCTATATTTACTGCTTATATATTATTTTCATTTTTAAGGTAAATGAATATTCATTTGTCAGCAGGAGCATCTTTTTTAAGAGAAGTCATATTTTTTCAAAGGAATTCCTTTTAAAAAGTTTCCCCAATTCAAGAATTTACTGTTGCGAAGACAAGACTAGTTTTACTGCAAAGAAATGGTAACTTTACTTAAGTACTTTTAAAATATTAATAATTTTTTTTCTTTTGGATTGACGTAATTATATCTTGTCACATTTAACAGAAAGTTGTCCTGTGTACACAAGAGTCATTCTCTTTTGGCCTGTTTACCTGCTTGGTCTTCCAGCACAGCCCTCACAAAGAGGGAACATGTCCGTAACTTTAAAGAATACACACACCCTCACTACCACAGTCAAGCAACAAGAGTAGTAAAAAAAGACCAGGAGAAGAAGAAAGAAAACCCTTCTTGCAGAACCAGGTTTACTACAAAGCTCAATTAGTTCAGACTGAGGACACTGCTTTTTATAAGTTTTTGCTCCACAGGGAACGGTTTTCTGAGTCTTCCTCTCGCTGCTCTCCATCCCTCGAGTCCTAACCAGGTTTTTTCTTTTTTGCTTGTGAGAACGAAAAAAGTTGCCAGGGAAGGAATATTTGGTGCATCTCACGGAGGGTTTTCTATTTTCAGTAAGTTTTACCATTCTCCAGATGGCTCCCAATTTCTCTAGACACACAAAGTCACTAGGCTCCCCCTAGACCTTTTTGAGGATCTATTTCATGAAAAATGTGGGTCCTCCGTACTCCCTGCCAACAACGGACCTATACAGAATTTCGCATTTGATTCTACATCGTCTGTCGACCCCCAAAAGCTAATTTTTTGACCCCAAGTTAAAGACGTCTGTCTAGAGTTAAAATGCAAGGAACACTCTAATACCCTTCGAGGGGCTCAAAGACGCTCTCGACCTTCCAGGGTGAGTTCTTGACTCGGCCAGCGGGAGCTTGGACCTTGAGCCAGAGAAGGTGGATCCCCGCTACACACTGGCTTTAATCCGAGGAAAAGTTAACTTTCCGCTCCTTGCATTTTCTCCAAAGCCCGTCCTGGGGCCAAGGCCTCAAAATCTGAGACCAGGCAAGACAGGTGTGTAAAGAAAACCTCGGGGTAGGGTCGCTGCACACAAACTCACCTGAAGGTCGGAGCCCCGGGGCTCCCCGATGTACTTCTGCTTCGAGTACAGCCTGCGACGCCCTGTCTACTCCTAGTAACGCGAGCATATTTCGAGGCCACCCTTCACGGGGTCTACCAGAGGCTCCCCCAAAACTCAAGACTCCGCAGGAGCGCGGCATCCTTCGCGGGGCATCCTTACCTTAGGGTTGGTCAGGAGCTGGTGCTCGTCGCTGTGCAGCAGCGCCCTGGAGTTGGACTCCGAGTTGTTCACGTAGACCTGGACGCAGGGGTACTGCGAGGTGCCTCTACAGTCGGCGCCACAGGTGAAGGTGCACTCGAACACCTCGCCGATCTGCTGCACTGACAGCACCGTGCAGTTGGCCGCCGTGGCTTGCAGATCCTGCAGCGCCGGGCTGAGCCAACAGAAGCCGAAGATGAAGAGCGACACGACGCCGGAGATGATGAGGAACAAGCCGAGCCGGATGCTCTTGTCCTCGGCTTCCGTGTACTCGTAAGCCACCCGGAGCTTCGCCATCGC